CGGGTGCCTGCCGGCTGCCCCACAGCCCCTGGCTCGTTGTCCTGTCTCGGGGAGCTGCAGCAGCAGTTCCCCCCTGGCAGGGGAGGGAGGAGCCCGGGGGGCAGCAGCCCTGCAGTGCAGAGCCCCTGCCCGCCTCGGGGTGGCCACTGAGCAGATTTGCTTCGTGCTGTCTCAGCGTGCTCCTGGCCCCCCGGCAGCCCCACAGCATCTCCTGGGGCAGCGTGCTCTCCTCCTGCTGCTTGCTCTGTTAAAACCTGCCCCAGCCAGGAGTGTGGGCTCAGACCTCCTCAGGGCTGTGGTATTGATGGCTCTGTAACGAGCTGTCAGGGCAGCAGTCGGACTGCATCTCATTCCTCCTCATCAAAGCAAAGTGCAGCTGGGCTGGAGCACTGAGCAGAGATCCCCTGGAGCTTGTGGGCAGTTTCCTTCTGCAGTGTCCACGTCCTAACCTGGGCTTTCCAGTGCAGCACCACAGATTCCTTCATAGCTCTCCCAATGATGTGCTGAAAAATTCTTTGTGCTGGTGCCTCCTGTTCTGTTGGGCTTGGGTTGTTTTCAGAAGCTGGTCACTGTGTGCACAGGAGAATGTGGAACCGAGCGGGCGTCGTTAGCCCCCAGAGCATGGGGAGGTGTTGGGGTGGCCTCTGCAGGAGGGTGGGTGGGGAGGGGGGTCCCAGCAGCGTCACACTGAGCTGAGGGATAAAAAGTCTCAGCCCAGCCCTCTGAGTCTCACCAGATCTTGTTTCTCTGCGCCAGTAGTTGGGCTGAGTGAGGGGAGATAGCCCGAGGAGAGGAGGCCAGTCCCTGTGTCTCTGTGCCAACAGAGAACGTGACAGCCCTGCCAGAGTCCTTGAGGCCCAACTGACATTAACATTTTGACAATGTGGCTGAGTTTGTCAGGGGGTGACATTTTCCCTCCCAGTCCAGCCCAGTTTAGTTTTACTGTCCCAGCTCTGAGAGCAGGCACAGCTCTGGTGGCACGTGTCCTTTGAGAAGACTCTGTGCTTGCCATGCCACCTCTGTGGCATAGGGTGTGGACAACCTGGGTGTGTTTTTGTCTTCCCTCTAGATCCTACCAGGGATCAGTGCTTTGGGGACAGGTTCAGTCGCCTCTTGCTGGACGAGTTCCTGGGTTACGATGACATCCTGATGTCAAGTGTCAAAGCTTTAGCTGAAAATGAAGAAAACAAAGGTAAGGCTTGGGAAGAACTGCTTTTGGCTGCTGCACAGAGCAGCTGGTGTTTTCTCTGTGTGTACTTGGATATCATCTTCTGGCTATTGATTAATCTCAACACAGGGAACTGTTCCCTGTATTAGAGTGTTATTGTCAAGGACGAAATGAAACAAGCAGGAGGGGAGAGGTGTCTGCAAACGTGATTTCCTGCTGCCTTGTTGCACTGCATGACAACGAGAGTGCTGCTCTGAGGGGGAGCTGCCATAGATCTGCTTTAGGTCCTGTTCCTTCAGAGGTTTGTTCTTAGTTTGTGGGCTGTTCACACCGAGCCTGCATGTTCTTCTTCTCCAGGTTTCCTTCGGAATGTGGTGTCTGGGGAGCACTATCGTTTTGTCAGCATGTGGATGGCCAGGACGTCGTATCTGGCAGCCTTTGTCATCATGGTCATATTCGTAAGTGGAGGGGAGCTGGGTGCTGCCTGGGTGCTGAGCCTGGTGCTGGTCTGTGTATCTTTGATGTGGCAGCACAGCCCTGAGTTCTCATCTGCTGTTACAGCAAAGCTGAGCAGGATGAGGTTCTACCCTGGTTATTTTTTTAATGTGAGTTCTTAAAGTCCCAACAGCAAAACAGAGGAGCTGAAATGGAATGAAGTCATGTGTTTTTTTGTCAAAAGGGAGGTTTGTGTTAGAGAGTCTCTCAGTGTAGTTAAAGCAGTCCAGCTGCCAGTGTGTGAGGTGCAGAAGTTTGTCCTCTGAGGCTTGAGAGCAGGCCTGACTGCTTTGCCAGGAGTGATCAGGATAGAGCTGGGTCTCCTGTGGCTGTGAGATGAGGTCGTTGGTGATAAGTGTTAGCCAGGATCCTGGGTGACTGGGGCTCTGTTCATGGTTGTGGGCAGCTGTTGCCCTTGGTGCCTGTCCGTGCACTGGGGCAGCTCTTGTCCAGGGACACTGGGCAGTGAGGAGGAGGAGGGTGCTGGGTGGCTGCTGTTGGAGCACAGATGTGTGATGGGCAGAAAGCTGAGTTCCAGTGCTGCCTCTGCTGCTCTTTGGTTGGCCCCTGCTCAGATATTCAGGATCAGTCTCTTTACAGATGAATGTCTTACTGTCTGTTCCACTGCATCAATACAAAACTTAGCTGCTCTTGTGGAGCCCTGGTTCCCCCTGGGGAGCAGGGCTGTGCAGGGCTGTGTGTGGCAGGCCCCAGCTCACCCAGCTCCCTGGAGCCCTGTGCCTCTGACCCTGGCTCTGTTCTTGCCCTGCAGACCCTCTCTGTGTCCATGCTGCTGCGCTACTCACACCACCAGATCTTTGTCTTCATTGGTAAGGATTCTTCTAAGGCATTTAGGGTGTGCTGGGTGCTCTGCAGGCTCCTGCACGGTGTGCCCTGTATGTGCCCCTCACAGAGCTGTGTGGGGAACATCTCAACCCTGCACCCCAGCACCGTGCTGTGAGAGCTGCCCTGTCTCCTCACCAGCGTCGGGGTGGTGGGCTCGGGACCGTGGACTGCTGCACAGAGTGCTCTGCATGGGGAGCAGTGTGGGGTGGAGGGTTCTGTGGCCCCACATCCACCTTCTGTCTTGGCCTCCTGCAGTTGACCTGCTGCAGATGCTGGAGATGAACATGACGATCGCGTTCCCCGCGGCTCCCCTGCTCACCGTCATCCTGGCTCTCGTCGGTAAGGGCGCCCTGGCTGCCAGGCCTGGGCAGCTGCCCCCTGCCACCCGTGCTGAGAGGAGCCCCTGCCCTGCCCTGGCCCCGGCCGGCGGGTGCTGTGCCTGCTGGTCACACGGTGGAAGGCTCTGGAACTGGGTGGCACAGTGAGCTGCATTGTCCTTCTGGGTCCCCTGGAAAAGCCGCTTGTGTGCAAATCAGATAGACTGAAGCTTTGTCACTTCAGTTCATTTCAGATTCACATTTCCTGTGACCACATTGCACAATCTGAATTTAAAAAAAGAAACAACCAAAGGCCACTCGAAACCCACGGGGTGTGTGCCCATGCAGGGGCTGCAGGCAGCAGTGGGACACGTTTGCCCTCGGCCGCCACTTTGGCAGGAGTGGATCAATCCTGCCCTGGTCTCTGCTGCACAGTCCCACAGCCCCTGCTCTGAGACCATGTGGGGTTCCAGTTCCTCCACGTGCCCGTGGGCAGCACACTGACATCACACCCCCTCTGTCCCCAGGGATGGAGGCCATTATGTCAGAGTTCTTCAACGACACCACGACTGCCTTCTACATCATCCTCATCGTGTGGCTGGCCGACCAGTACGATGCCATCTGCTGCCACACCAACACGAGCAAGAGGCACTGGCTCAGGTAGGAGCTGGCTGGGGTCTGTTCCAGCTCTGCCCATCCCGCTGTTCTCCTGTGGGGGCAGCTGCTCGGATGGGCTCCTTGGGGCTGCCCTGCCTGTCACAGTGCCCAGAGTGCCATCACTCCCTCACTGGGGCTCAAGAGTCACCCCTGTCCTTCCCTGCCCTTTGTTTTGCCCTGTTGAGGTTCTGTTCCTAGTCAGGCAATTGTAACTACCTGTTAACTGGGGTCTGCACCACGCTGTGCAATGTGCCCCCTGCTCAGAACCGAGCAGGGGTGGGAAGGATCTGACACTTGTCCTGGCCACTGGCGTGTCCTGGTGTTCATGGCTCCTCTCCCCAGGTTCTTCTACCTGTACCACTTTGCCTTCTACGCCTACCACTACCGCTTCAACGGGCAGTACAGCAGCCTGGCCCTCGTCACCTCCTGGCTCTTCATCCAGGTCAGTGGCCACCCCTCTGCCGGGCACTGGGCAGCCCTGGGAGCTGAGCCCTGGTTGCCCACCCAGCCCCAAGGGCTCGGCTGCCAGAGGGGGAAGTGGGCAGCAGCTGGGGCTTTGTCAAACTCCTTGTCCGCTGAGTTTGAGCAGCAGTCTTTATTTATGTAAGGGCATGAAGTGATCCCTGGTTTGGGAAGGGAACAGCAGGAGGAGCCTGTCCAGCAGCAGGACGTTGTGGTCACTGGCTCCAGTCCAGCCGTGTGCTGACAATAGGCTGATGTCGTGTGAGCTCTGGAAGGTGTTGGGGGAGGATTCCTGTCACATCTTCCTGGCAGGAATCCTGCTGAGGGTCAGAGAGGGTGAGGGCTGTGTGGTGAAGGTGCTGGCAAGACCAGCTCCAGGTTGATGTCTCCAGCATCCTGGCTCAGGCAAACCTGCTGTGTGTCTGGCTGTGGATCTGCTGCAGGCTGGAGACGAGGAGCTGAGGATGGGCTGGAGAAATGCCCTCAGTTGTTCTCAGCCTCTGAAAGGGAGAGGGTTGTACTCTCTTGTTGATCTGTAAAAGCAGCTTTCAGGAGTCACAGTGGAAGGGGTAAATCTTTCC